AATATATTTAACTTATATACACTTTATATAGCTTATATAATACTTTTCTTCTTTAGTATAAAGAATTCTTTATAAAGCTAAAAAACTTTAGTTTAAAACCTATAGATAAGGATCTATATCTCTTTACTAACTAAGAATAAAAAGTATTTATAATCTTTTATATAGATAATATTCTTATTATATTTTACTAAGATAACTAAGTAGCTAGAGAATAAATTATTAATAACTTAAAAGGGGTATATAAAATAAAGGACTAAGACCTAGCTAAATACTACCTTAGAATATATATTATAAAGGATTAGTAAGTAAAAAAACTTTTTTTAGTCTATAATATATATATTAAGAAGGTTATAAAGTAATTTAACCTTATAAAAGGCATCTTCTTATTAACTCTTTTACTAACTATAACACTTAAAAATAACCTAGGCTAAGTAATAAAAGAATAGGTCTATAAATACTAAACAAAGATTAGCTTAATCTTTTTTACTATAATTATAATATAACTTAATATTATATTTATATACTTAGCCTTATTTTACTACCTTATAAATCCTTTAAGAAAGTATATTTTAATAGTAAACTAAGTAATCTAATACTTATATTTAATATACTACCTTATAATTTACTTTAAAGATATAAGGAGTAAAATAGCCTTTATAATAGTAAGTAATACTTTATTTATAGATAATAAAGAGTTAAGAAAGTCTTCTTAAGGCTATATCTTTTTACTATTTAAAGGTATAATCTAGTAAAAAGCTATATACTAAGTAATAGTAATAACTTTAACTACTAAGGCTAAACTTCTAAGTCTAGAATAAATAGCTAAAGAAGTAATAGCTTTTAAATATCTATTTTAAGACTTTTAACTAGCTATAAAAGATATTTAGAGAATATACTATAATAATTAGTAAATAATAAGGCTAGTAATCTAGTAAAAAAAAAGACTTATAATAAGGCTTTAATATATTAATATTTAAAATATATAGTTAAAATAGAAGTTTATAAAAAGTAATTTTAATATTACTTATATAACTATAAATAAGATACTAGCTAATAGACTTATAAAAAATCTTTTATATACTAAGTTTAAATACTTTTATTCTTTACTTAATCTTATAAATATATATAATCTTATATAAAAAAAGATAATTAAAATATTAAAGTAAAAATAAGTTAATTCTATAAGTAAATTAGCTTATATTAGCTGTATAATATAAAACACTTTATCTCTTAGGGAGGTCTAATTATACTACCTTAAAAACTAATTTAGGCTAAAAATTATAGCCTAAAAACTTTTCTTTATAAAAACCTAGGCTAAAAATTATAGTCTAAAACTTTTTCTCTTTTATTTTAAACTTTAAATACTTTAAAAAGTTAACCTTAAAAACTATAGCTAATACTTATTTTAGATAGCTCTCTTAAAGGATTTAACTATACTTATAAATCTAAGTTTATAAATAATATTACCTTTAGAAACTAACTAAAAAAAGTCTATTAAAGCTCTCTTTTTTTAGTAATAACTAAAGTAGTACCTAGAGGTATAGTTCTATACTTCTTAGCTAAACTAGGCGCCTAGTTATAACCTTAAACTAGAATAAAAGTTAAAATTAATTAACTAAATAAATAAATATTTAAATTATAAGGACTAGGATTAGTAAAGTTAATAGTAATTACTTTACTAGTTCTCTTAAGCTTCTTTTTTTACTTTTTATAAAGCGCTTTAACCTTAGTAATACCTTTATAAAAGGTTTAACTTTTAAACTTTAACTTTTACTTAGAATATTAGTCCTAGAAGTAAAAATAACTAAAGAGAATCTAAGATTTACTAAACTTTTTATATTTCTAGTATAAGTATAATAAATAAAGCTATTAGTAGTATTAACTAACTTATTAAGAATAATAATATAAGATATATTATTCTTAATATAGTGTTTATAAGGACTATCTTTATTTACTAAAGTATATTATTATAAGACAAGTGCCTTATATAGTAGATAAATAGGTAGGACATAGGATTACCCTATTAATATATATTTAGGTATATGCCTAGGGATATATATCCTATTGCCTATTTCCTCCTATAAGGAAGAGTAACCTTAATAAATAACCTACACTTATACCTAGCTCTTGTCCTATGTTATTAGTTTAGCTCCTTATTATTACTTACTTTATTTTATTACTCTACTATTATACTTTACCTTTACACTATATTACTTTATATTACCTATTATAGCCTTACTCCTCTTATTAAATCTATAATAGCTAGTAGGAAGGCTATATTAAGTAGTAGTATAACTACCTTAATCTATACCTTTAAAATTTTTTTTTACTAAGATATAGTAAAAATACCTTTTTACTTTAACAAGAACTAGCTTATAGAAATAGTATACTAAGGCTACTATAACTAGGCTAAATTACTAATATATAGTATATATATATATAGCTTTAGTAAAATCTAAATATAAAGTTACTTATTCTTTACTATAAAGCCTTTATAATAATATATATACCTTATATTTATAGAATTTAATAGTAATAGGCTATTCTATAGGATAATAAACTAGTAAAAAGGTTTAAACTAGATAGTAGTAATATAGTTAATTATATTAAATAAGATTAAACTCTAGACAGTAAAAAGAATTATTAAGAATATAAGAGAGTATTAGACCTATATATATAGCTTTATATAAAAGCTATAGATATCTTATTATCTTATACTAACTTATAAACCTCTTAGTTATTAAGAAACCTAGTTATACTAGAAAGATATATAACTAAGTAAGTACTAAATACCCCTAAAAAATCCCTCTTAATAAACTAACTTAAATAAAGATATTATAATAAGTAAGGCCTTTACCTAAAGTAAAAATATTTTACTAGATAGTATATTACTAAAGTAAATAAAAGTATAGTAATATTATAGTAATTACTAAAAGGTAAAGACTAGAAATTATAGGCCTACTAGGCTTTATACTAGCCTACTAGTAGATTTACTAGAAAAAGTAGACTACTAGTTTATCTTAATAATACTTATACTTTATACTAGGTTAATTCTAGCTAGTATAAGTAGCTACCTATATAGCCTAGACCTACTAAGGTTTTAGCCTATATAGGCCTAGATAGTATAAGCCTTTTACTTATCTTATAAAGTATATTAATAACCTTTACTATTAAAGTAAATAATATATATACTACTATAGCCTAAGACTACTAGTAGTATACTTATTCCCTAAGGAACTACCTAGGTAGACTACTAAGTCTACTTACCTTTATATACTTAACACTATTAGACTTAATAGTTAAGTAGGCTTAAGCCTTATAAGACTACTACCTCTAAGTTAACTAGTAATTAACCTTATATAGTAAAGATAAGCGCTAGCCTTAATAATACCTCTACTATAGGCCTAATACTACTAATAAATATAAATAAGTTTATAGTAGCTTCTTTTATACTATAGTAGCCTAGATATAGTAGGCTAAGACCTTATTAGGTTCTATAACTAGCCTAGGTTATATATAGCCTAGATACACTAATAATAATAGTTAAGATATTTTAGCTAAATATAGACACTAAATATTACTTACTTAACCTTATCTTTTATAACTACTATATAATATATTACTATAAGGTAAAGTTATAGATCTAAGTAGTTAAGTAGTATATCTAGATAAACTATCCTTATAGTGTTTTAGTTAAATAGTTTAATAATATCTTATAGTTAAGTATATAACTAGTAAAATTTTAACTTATAACTAAAGAATAACACTAGCTAAAGGAATAAAGGTAGTTATATATTACTAGATATCTTAAGGAATATTTTAGCTTATCCTTTTAATATAGAGAAGTAGTTTAAGAGAACTACTTTACTATTAAGAAAGTTAATAGGTAAATAATATTTATACCTTTACCTAATCCTACTTTAAATACACTAAGGCATAGGGTAACTAAACCTAGCGCTAATAGTAATAAGGTTCTATAATAACCTTGCCTTTAACTTTAGTAATTCCTTTATAAACCTAGGAATATAACTCCTTAGATATATATATTATACTTATAAAGGAATAATACTAAGCACTATAAGATATAGTACCTAGATTATATTATAACCTAGTGTATATTAATAATACTACTAACTAGAATAATATAGTTAGTAATATAGTACTATAGGAAGTACACTAGGATATATAAGATCTAATATAGACACCTATAAGGACCTTATATAGTAGACCCTCTAATATAGAGGAGAGAATACTACTTTATAGGGATCTATAATAATAATAATAGGCACTTAAGAAACTACTCCTATATAATAATAGTCCTTAAGGAAACTATAGAGAATACTAGAACTATAGTAACTATTAATAAGACACTAAGACTAATATAACTACTAAGATAACTTAGACTACTATAAGTATAACTAGTAGCCTTAGTAAAAAATAAACAAGAAGTAGTTAAAGATAATAAGTAAAATATACTTACTAATTAATAAAAAAATAAAGTCTAATTTATCTAGAATATAATAAGATATAGATGCCTATATTAATAAGCTTATTAAAGATAAGTATATACTTAAAGAAATAGAGGAATTTCCCTAATCCTAGGCAGTAATATAAACTTTATTTAATACTAAAGGACCTAGGACTATAAGCAATAAAGAAGCTAAAGATAGTTACTAAAGATCCTAAAGACCCTAAGGACCTATACCTTAATAAGATAAGGTTAAAAGGCACCTTAAGTAAGCTATTAAGGTATATAAGAAGAAGAACCTAAGAAGGTCCTAGATAAGAAGCTAACTACTAATAATACTATAAACTTTACCTTTTAAACTAGTAAAGTTATTAAGGCTATTATAAAGCCTAATAAAAAAGAAGTTACTATAAGTGTACTTATCTCTAAATTAAAGTATAGTAAATAAGACTTAGAGGACTACTTAGTTATATTAACACTAGTGTATTAGTAATTTTACTAAATATAACTAGTAAAAAGATTTATAAAGAACCTAAGATTTTCTTTTACTAAGCTATATAAAGTAAAAGCTATAGGATTATTATTTATATTAATAAAGGATATTACCTTTAATATATACTTTATTAGAATAGTAAAAGGCACTAAGATAAAGGTCTATATAATAATTATAGTAGAAGTAGTTAAAAAACTTTAGCCTACTTACTACTTAGTATACCTTTCTATAATAACTATAGTATAGTAGTAATTTTAATAAAAATAAGTAAAGCTTAGGTTAGCCTATAATATAATAATCTTAGTAATAGTAAAAATTACTTCCTATTATAAGAAGAGTTATAGCCTAATATATAGTAATAATATTACTAGATTTAGTCTACTACCTCTTATTAACTTTATTAACCTCCCTAAGAAATATAATAAAGAAGTAACTTATATAAATATTAGGTATACTTAACTAATAATTTACCTTTAATATAATATTAGATTTATTAACCCTAAGGTAATACTAGTCTATAATAATATAGGTAGACTAATTACTATTAGGAAAGTATAAAGGTAGTATAAATCTCCTAGTATATAAGAGGAGTCTATATAGCTTATTATAGAGGAAGCACTAAACGTAATTACTTATAGTAATATAGTAAACTTCCTTAATATTACTAATAAGTTTTTAATAGTAAAAGTAAACTACTATAATAGTAGACACTAGTAATAAATTAATAAACCTCTATTACTAGCTAAAGAGGTACCTAGATATAAGATAGTAAAACCTAACTTTTATCTTATAATAACTAACTACTATAAAGTAAAGATCTATATAATAATCCTAAGTATATAGAGAAGCTAAAGACTATACTTAATAAATATATATCTACTATAACTATAGGTTAATACTTATACTAGATAAAGATAAATAAGGATTAAGCTACTTAATAGATAGTAAAACTAGAAATAGAACGTTTATATATTTCTCTTAGTCTTAAGGATATAAGCTTTTAATAAATAGAATAACTAGTAATATAAGATTAGTAAAATTAGTTAGTAATAACGCCTAGTAGACTAGCCTACCCTCTTTTTATAGTATAAAAACACTATAAGGATAAATAAAATATAAAGGTATATAGTTACTAATATAAGGCCTTTAATAAGTAGGCTACACTAGATATTTATTCTTTACCTAACTAAGAGGACATTATATAAGGACTTTAAGGTAAAAAGAGGATAATAATATTTAATACCTTAGGGTTCTTTTACTAGCTAGAGTATATTTACCCTATAGAGACTATATAGTAATAATAAGCCTATAAGGCTTAAATACTTTAATATAGTACTTATAGGCTTTAAGAACTTACTAGTGTACACTTAGTGCTTTATAGACTATATCTTCTTTAAATATTACTACTTTATAAAGGTATATATTAATAATATTATAATTTTTAGTAACTTTAATAAAGACTACCTTTAGCACCTAGAGATAGTCTTATAAATTCTTAATAAATACTATATCTATATTAGTATAAAGAAATTATTTATTAGCTTTTTATTTATAAAGCTTCTTAGTTATATAGTTAATAGTAATAGTATATATAAAATAGATAACTATATCTAAGCCTTTAGCTAACTAGCTTTCCTATATAGCCTTTAGGACCTTAAGATATATCTTAGTATAGGTAGTTAGTTATAAACAAAAATACTATAGTTTAATATAATTATAGATTACTTTACTAGAGGAAAATAAAACTTAATAAATAATTATAAAAGAAGAATATACTAAAACCTAGAATAACTTGTTAGTATAAAGTAAAAATTATTACTAAGAAGACCTTTAACCTTATAGCTAAAGAACTTAATATATAAAAGACTTTATAAGAGAAACTTTATAATTAAGCTAATTATTATTACTATAACCCTAAGAAGCTGCTCTTTTTTAAGATTAACGTATATATTAATAGCTTTAGGCTTATAGTGTTTTAACTTAACTATAACTAAGATAAAAGAAAATACCTAGAATTAATATATTAAATAACTATATTAACCTTATTCTTTTTCTCTTATAAACTATAACCTAGGTAAAAAAATATTTTAGTGTAACTAAGGCTAAAGTAGTAGCTATTATATAGGCTATTAAGAAGCTCTAGAAACTTATCTAGTTAAATAAACATAAGGTTAATATTCTTATAGACTATATAGCTATAAAGGGTATTATTACTTATATATTATTATAGATAATAGACCTTAATAAGGCTAACCTATGTCTTACTAACGCTACTAACTACCTCTCCTAATTTTAGCTTTAAATCTTCTATGTCCTAGGTAAGCTTAATATAGTACTAGATATACTATCCTAACTTCTAGTTATATAACTTAACCTTATAAAGTATTTCCTATATAAGAATAAGCTTATAATATTAATAATAAGGATAAAGTTAAAATATAGTAATAGTATAGTATATAAGTAATAAACCTCTAAGCCTAGGGAAGGCTACTATAATAATAGTATAAATTAATAATAAGTTTATAAAGAGTATTATTATAGGCTACTAGAATAATAAGAAATTTAGGGACTTAAGGGTATAGATTATATAAATATAAAAGGATAATTATAAATATATTACCCTAGATAAGGTAAAAAAAGATTAATAACTCCCTTATAAATAATAGCACTAGCCTTATATAGCTATACTACTATAGAAGATTAACTCTAGAGGATTAATCTTTTATATAGCCTTAGATAGTATATATAGACTTTATATCCTAAAACCTTTTATAAGAAAAGTGTTTACTTTTACTTATAACAAGAAGTTTTACTTTAGGTATAATAGAATACTTACTAAGCTTTAAAGCTTTTATATCCCTAGAAAAGTAAAGTTAGTAAAAGCTTATATTACCTACTACCTAGTATACTAAGGTAACTAAATAGATTACTAAAAGGCTATAAGATCCCTTTAACCTATTATAATACTTAGTGTACTTTACTATACTATCTCTATAGACTTTATTATAAATATACTAGAAGTCTTAACCTAAGGTAGCTTTTAGGCTATACTTAACTTCTATATATTTAATAGCCTTTATACTATAACCTATAAGTTTAGTAAAAAAATCTTACTTATCCTAGGATATATAAGGTATAAGGCTTACTACTAGGCCTAGGTATTACTTTAAACGCTTATAATATATAACTAGGGATTACTAATAGTAATTATTAGTAACTATAACCCTAAGTTTATCTTTATAATATAGGCAAAAATATTTAATACCCTTAAAGTATAACTACTTATATCTATAGTGTACTATCCTTAGACTAATAGTTAAATAAAAAAACTAACTAAATAGTTAAAATTACTATATACTTTTATATATATACTAACCTTAATATCTTATAGACTAATATTCTTATAGCTCTATAGTACTTACTTAATAACTTATTAGTAGTTATAGTAGGTTATTTACTAAACAAGGTTATTCTTAGATTTTACCTTAGGATAGTACTAAAGTATATTAGTAAAGATAGACTCCTATTAAAGTCTCTTAATATTTTATACTAAATATACTAGGTAAAAGCACTAGCTTTTATTAATATAGTAAAAGTAATAAAAAAAAATAATATAATTATTATTATTACTTTATAAAACTTAATATTAAAGATAAGGTTTTCTTTTAACTTAGTAAAGGCTATTTATTACTAAGTAAGCCTAAGTAGAAATAGTCTTCTTAGTACACTAGACTTTTCTATATTACCTATATAGTTAGGCTAAGAGCCTATAAACTTAACCTACTACTATACTAGAGGGTCTACCTAGTAGTGTTAACTATATAGCTATAAAAAGTACTAACTAGTAATAACCCTTTTAAGAGAAAGTAGTTACCTCTAGAGCTAGTAAAAGTAGATAATATAAAAGAATTTAAAGTTAAAAGGATTATAGACTATAAAGTTAACTAGTAAAAGAACTACCTATTAGTTAAGTATCTTATTAAGTAGAAGAGGTACTTACTAGTATTTAATATATAGGAACCTTATAAGAACCTTATACTTAATACTAGTAATATTATAACTAACTTTAAGAAGGCTAATTTTATTAATTAGGTAGTAGAGTATATAAAGAAATAAGGCTAAAAGCCTATATTAGTAGACTTCTTATAAATACTACTATAGTTAGTACTAAAATAGTTATAATACTTTATAATAACATAGGGAGAAACTTAGCCTTATACCTTTATTTTTAATAATAACCTTGTTTTTTAATTTTCTTTTAATAAGAATAATAATAACTTAAAGATAACTAACACTTTCCTTTTATTAAAATATATAGTTATATAGTAGATAATAAAAATATTTATATAGTTTAATATCCTAAAAAATAATAAAAGAAGCTTTTACTTAATATAACTAACTATACTTTTCTTATCTATAGTTACTAATAATAATAATAAAATAAATTAACCTACTTACCTATAACTACTGTTTTCTTATTTTTAACTTACTAAACCTACTACTTTCCTATTACTATTACTAACTTTACTATATTACTACTATTATTAACTATAACTTATTAATATTCTTATAATAATAATATATCTTTTTCTTATATTCTTTTTCCTTTTCTCCTTATAAACTTTTACCCCCTAGATAAAAAAAAAAACAAGCTACTATAAGTACCCTAATTTAATTTAGCCTTATCCTAGGTAATAATAATCCCTTAAACCTAGACACTATTAACCTTAACTAGTACCTTAACAAGGATAACCCTCTTTATATTACTAGCCTTAAGGTAGATTAGCCTAATAAGTAAACCTACTAGCTTAATAAGGTTATTACTACCCTAGCTAATAAGCCTAGATCTATTCTTAAGCTATCTTTTATAGCTATTAACTAACTAGCCCCTTAGTCCTAGAATAAAGAAGAGGCTACTAAGAATAATAATAATATTAATAAAAATAATAATAATAATAATAAAGGTATAAACTTTAATATCTTTAGTATTAAGAGTAATAATATTTCTTTACTAAAGGATATAATAAAAGATATTAATAAGGCTATAGAATATATTAAATAGTAAAAGCCTTTACTTAAGAACTATAAGTAATAAAGATAGCTTATTTTTAATAAGATCTAGTAGTAACTTTAAAATAAAGCTACTACTATAGGAAAACCCTTTAATACTATAAAGGTAGCTATAAAGCTTACTAAGGAAATAAGAAAGTATAATAATATAGGAGAATTAAAGAAGCCTACTACTATATATAAAAAGTTAATAGTAATTACTACCCTAGAGGAGATTAATAACTATATAGGGGAGATAACTAAGCTATTTAGTTATAAACCTATTAATAAGTAAGTCCTTAAATAAATCTAAGCCTATAAGGCTAATACTAAAGCTACTACTACTAAGGAAGCTAATAATACTAATAACTAAGTATATAAACCCTATACCTTTATAAAGTAAAAAGGCTATAGCTTAAAGCTAGCTATCTTTACTTATAAAGAGGCCCTCTGTTACCTAAAGGGTGCCTTTTATAAAAGTAGTAATAAATAGCTCTATAAAGAGACTATAGCTTAGGTTAAAGCTTTTTATACTTAGTAATAAGGTAGCTTTATAGCGTTATAGTAATTATTATTTACCTTAGATATATACTTCTACTATAAAATTACTACTTTAATAAATATTATCTTAGCTAAGTATAAAAAGAGTAAGCTATATATAAGTAATATCTTTAGCTAGGCTACACTTATTAGCTTTACTTTTCTTTATTAACTTAGCTAATCTAATTTAAAGGTTATAGGTATACTTCTTTTAATCTAATATTTTAATAAAATCTTTATCCTAGAGATTTATTACTTTAACTAGCTAAGAAAGTAGCTATATACTGAGAAAGGGCGGGGCATCTAGGCTACTTAACAAAGGAAAAGAGGAATAGTAAAACATAGGAAAACCACCTACACTACAACAACGTCTAATAATAATAATATATATATTAATTAATAGGTCTTGTGATTCTTAGACCTAATCTATAAAGATACTGAAATAAAAGTATAAATTAATAGAGTAATTATAAAAAGAGTAAATTTCCCTAAATAAATAAAAGTGCAGTAATAACTAGCAGTGTATTTCTGTATGCAGTATTAAGGCTAACGATAATGACTATGTATAAATAATTATGTCCTCCTTTGATCTCTTCTTAGGTCTATAAATCCCTTTTTTAATAGGTAGGTAGCTTTCCTATTAATTTATCCCTTGAATTAACCACTACGTGATTCTTACGACTATACTACCTAACCCCACTACAATACTATTACTAAGCTTAAGGAGGATATTACTAAGCTAGCTAATATAGTTAATAACTATAAAAGTAATATTAATAAATATAACACTAAGGCTAATATAGCTACTAAACTTACTAAAGATACTATAAGAAAAACTAATACCCTTAATATAGATATTAATAATATTATAAAGAACCTTTATAAAAAGGCTAATAAAGTATATAAGTAAAAGTAGTACTTTAAAGAACTTAAGGAGTAAGTAGACTAAATAAACACTAAAGTTATACTCCTTAATAAGAAGTCTAATAACCTTAATGTACTAACTACTTTTAAAGGTAGCCTATTTAAGAAGTTAATAGATAAGGTTAACTAAATAGCTACTAAGCTTAATAAATAAAAGGCTATAGTTAACCTTTAGGTCTTAGCTACTTAGCCTAAGGTTACTACCCTAATAATCTAGGGTAGCTAAGCTAATAAACACTACTATAATACTAATAATAATAACTTAGCCTAAGTACTACTAAAGGCTAAATAATCTTAATAAAACTTTAGAGATAATAAGTAATAAGGTTATTATATAAGAAAAAAGGTAATTTTTATACTTTATATTTATATATACTACTATTTAGTATATTTTCTTAGTAAAAGAGAATAAAGTCCTTTAAGGAGAAGGCACTTGTTATAGGATAAGTGCTTTATATAGTAAATAGACAAGTAGGACATAAGATTACCTTATTAGTATATATTTAGGCATTTGCCTAGGGATATATATCCTATTACCTATTTCCTCTTATAAAGAAGGGCAACTTTAATAGATAACTTACACTTATACTTAGCTTTTGTCTTATATTATTAGTTTAGCTCCTTGTTATTACTTACTTTATTTTACTGCTCTACTATTATACTTTACCTTTGTACTATATTACTTTATATTACCTATTATAGCCTTACTCCTCCTGTTAGATCTATAATAGCTAGTAGAAAGGCTATATTATATATTTACTTTAAGAAGAACTATAAATAATACTTTTAAGATAGCTAAAGTAGATCTAGTCCTAGTATAGACCTCTCTTAAGAACTAGGTTTTTACTTATATTAAGTATATACTTTTTATAAAAGTATATTAAACCTTTACTACTACCTACTTTATACTTCTTATTAATAAGTAAAAAAGAAAAGCTATAACTAAGCTTATTATTTTTTAGATTATTATTAATAAGTAAATTATACTTTAATTTATTTAAAATATAATTACTATTAAAATCTTTATAATTATCTTTATTTTTAATAAATAAAGTAATAATTTATTCTTAATATACCTTCTTTACTACTATATATATATACTTTATAGGCCTTTTTATAAAGTCCTTTTAATACTTTTTTTAATTTTATTAAAAAAGGTAAATAAGGCTATAACTACTTAGATTAGTACTTATTATTATTAAATTAGTAGAACTAATAAAATCCTTTTTAAATAAACTAAGATTTATTAATAAGTAAAAAAACACTTTATAACTAAGAAAAAAAAAGAACTTATACTTAGTATACTTATTTTAAAGGATTATATTATACTTTTTAACTATAATTAAAGTTCCCTAGGGTATTTTATTTAAGTAAATTAGAAAAAAAAGTACTATACTTTCTTTATCTAAGTTAAAGATAACTAAGGAATTAGTTAGACTAATAAATAAAGTATTACTAGGCCTAGGAGTAAAGATTTTACTAGGACCTTAGTTATCTAAGACTAGGCTAAGATCTATACCTTTAGTAAGATTATAACTAAATATTATACTTAATTAAAAATATAACTTAAAAAATATTCTAGCTATTAAACTACTATATAAGCTAAGGAGTCTAAACTTAAGTAACATAGTTAAATAGGTAATAGATCTAATAACTAACTAAGAGCTAGAGCTACGGCTAGCAACGGCCGGTCTTATAGACTAGCGACAGGTGGGGCCTAGTAGGGCACCAGCTGTTAGCAGGATATTGGCCTAACTAATAGATCCACTGGCAAGGCTAAGAAAGTAGATCTAAAGGTTAACTATATTGTCCTATAACAAGTACTCCCCCTAATAATAAAAATAATTATTATATAGTAATTATTTAATTACTAGTTAATAAGATAGTTAATATTACTAGTTAATAAAGTTATTAACTATGTACCTTAGGCTTTTATAAGGCTATTATAGCTATTATAAAAAGGGTATACCTAAGGGTTAATAGTCCTTGTTATAGCTATTATTATTACTATAACTATTACTATATTTATTATTACTATATTTATCCCTATAGTTATTAAAGTCCTTATATCTATTAGTGTTATCTTTAATAGTGTTACTATTATTATTACTACTATAATCCTAGTTATTATTACTAGCTAGGTAGTTAGGTTAATAGTAGTTAGGTTAGTACACTAGTTAGTTAAGTATATACATAGGCTAACTATAGGTTAGCTAACTATAAGTTAGCTAGGTAGGCGTATATAAGTATAAGTATAGACTTTAGGCTAATTAACTATAAGCTAACTAGCTATAGGCAAGTTAGCTAAATACTAGTTAACTATAGGTAAGTTAACTAGACACTAGCTAGCTATTAGCTACTAGCTAGCTATTAGCTACTAGCTAGCTATTAACTACTAGCTAGCTAGATTTATTAAAGTTATAGTAATAATCCTCTATATAAATAGATCTATTATTATTATCCTAGGGACCTATCTCTATAGTATAACTAGTAGTATTATTATCTTTATTATCTTTATCCTTATTATCCTTATCTAGGGTATCTTAACTATAGTACTATATAGCTTTATAAGGTAGTAGTAGTAGTAGCTAGTAGACCTATTACTAAAGGGACTAGATTTCCTTCTCCTGTTCTTAAAGACGCTACTAGATTAGTTTACCTCTTAGCAAGTAGCCTTCTCTAAATCTAGGATATAGTTAATATAGTTTATATAGCTAGGTATATAACTTATAAGGTTATTAGGCCTATTAGGCGTAAGCTAGTTAGGTGTATATTAGTAATAGTGTTAGTAGCAGTAGCTTTAAGTATCTTGCTACTAGCTAGGGGTTTTATATATCCTTTGCCTATTTACTTTCCTATTAGACTATATTCTCCTAGTTCTAGATTAGTATTATCCTTTAGGTAAAGGCCTTAATAGTAATATAAAATTTTATAGCTAAAAGGAAGATTAGTACTACTAGTAATATAGACTATTTACTTATAGGTAAAAAGGATAATAATAAGATAGTTATTATTAATAGTAGTAATAATAAAGTTAATAAAGTTAATAAGGGTAATAAGTGTAATAGAGAAGGTAATAAAGGCTAATAGTCTAGTAAGTAGTAAAAAAGAGTATTTTAAGATATAAAGTCTTAATAGTAAAGTTAGTAGTAATAGGTGTAGTTATTAGCGTATATATAGTAAAAAAGTATAGATCTTAAGAGAAATCTAGTACTACACTTATAGTAGGGCTTTAGTTAATAACATTACTATTTAAGGGCTTTAATTAATAATAGCTTTAGTAGTAGTAACCTTAATATATAAAGGGGTAAAATAACTAATATAAAAGAGTATAAAAAAAGGTAAAAAAAGTAAGGTTATTAAAGTAAAGGTTAGTAATAGTAGTAGCTAGAGGTATAGTAGATCTAGCTAAATAGGTTAGTCTAGTATAGGCTAATAGTAGTAAAAAAATCTACTAGTAGGCATATATTAGTAACTAGGCTAGTAAAGTAAATACCTTTAATTAGTTACCTTTAAGATAACTAATTAAATAGCTTTTAATAGTAATTTAGTGTATTTACCTCTTATTATAAACTTAATAGCAGTAGAGGGTTAATTACCTATAGTATTATAACTAGTAGTTATACTACTACTTAACATAGTTAAATAGGTAATAGATTTAATAACTAACTAAGAGCTAAAGCTATAGCTAGCAACAGCTAGTCTTATAGACTAGCAACAGGTAGGGCCTAGTAAGGCACTAGCTGTTAGTAAGATATTAGCCTAACTAATAGATCTACTAGCAAGGCTAAGAAAGTAAATCTAAAGGTCAGCTATATTGTCCTATAATATTAAGTATAAATATATTCTTTTATTAAAGAAAATTATTAATAAAAATATAAATTTAAATAATTTCTTAGTTAAAAAAACTATAAGACTTAAAAAATAAAGTTAGTTACTAACTAAAAAACTTAAGCTACTTAAAATATATTACTAGTTAAAAAAAAGGCTATAACTTTTTTTTTATTTTTTTTTAACTATTAGCTATTTAAGAATAGCTTTAGAACTACTATATAAACTAAAATATATAGTAAATAAAGAGGATATTAACTTACTTTACTTAATAAGTTATTAGTTAAAAAAAAAAAGTTAAGTAATAAAATATTAAAAAATATTTATTATTTAACTAGTAAGTAGTTAGTTATTACTTATTTTAGAAAAAATAAGCACCTTAAGAAATAAAAGAAACTACTACTATAATAAATAATAATAAATAATAAAATATAGTATTAAAAGACCTTTTATATAATACTATTATTTACTTTATTACTTATTAATTAGCTTAAAAGGCTATTATTAACTAATAATTATCTTATTTTTTTTATTATAAAAATATTTATAGCTTTTTATTTAGTTATAGAGATAGACTTTATAACTAGGGGGGTATATTATAAAGCTAGGATAGCTTTATATAGCTAGTTCTAGTTAAAGACACCACAGAGTAGTACCTCTAACTAATAAGACCTATATTAGGAAGAGTATTTCTAGGCAAGTTTTCTCTTGTACTTAGACTTAGGAAAATTAACTACTTCTCTTCATATATGTCAGGACGCTGCGGTTCATTACATAATCCCTTGAATATCATGGATTAGATTAGGACCACGAACCGCGAGTATTCTCAAAGCCGTCTAACTGCAACCCCAGCGTCTGTGGTGATTGCGCATTGTCCTCTCAGAAGCTATATACCAATGGAAAACCAGAGTTCCCGATATCACATGGAACCAAGATGGAGCATTAGTAGTGACGCCATCTCATTGGGGAACTATACTGAAATCCCGAAGCAGACAACATTAGACCCGCCAAGACCTCCAGTGGCCAAGGTGCGAATGAGCGTGTGAAGCTGCCCATCTCCTTTCTCATTATCCTACTTCCTGCACTTATAGTTGATATTCCTGCAACAGATGGCGGAGGAAACACAGTGGGAGATGCGGGGAAATCCATTCCTTTTCGCTGTGACCGAAGCTCCTTGTGAGGATAACACTCGCTCATTCATTCCCTTTTCGTGATATCTGCTCCCTCTAAAAAAGTATGACCACGGCCTGCCCGCAGCAGCCACAAATTATCGTTTCCAGTCTTGCGTCCTGTCATATCAGCGCGAGGCATAGAATCCGTCACTCCAAAATAATAAGGCCTCGTACTTGTCCCTTCCCGTCTGTGTCCCTCAAAACTCAATCTCTGAGGAACCAATCCTTTCTGCATGTTAGTCTCACGCTCCATAGAACGCTCCATTGAGAAGCACGGCCGGCATTTGGATTACTTCGAGACTACATAATAGAAATAAAGAAAGAAACTGCCAGAGGGAACTACCTGCTCTAGAGGCTTGAACTAATCCAAATCCACAACAGCCTGGAAGCTATGGCCTGGACACAAATATCATCTTTGTATCCCCTACCCTCCCCTTCGTAGGCTATAGCGGATTAATGAGCTGGTAGTCTGGCAACAAATCTCACAGGCATGCAGGGAATCCCGGGCTGCGAGAATAAGCCCTCCACTTAGCTTACTCCGGCTGCACGGCTTGCTAACATTGGTATCAAGTGCGTAGGGTAAGACATTACGAGGAACTAGGCGGGGTGGTAAACGATAACTGGGACATTTCTCCTGGTACTGACGTCAACGTGTTCTGACACAGAAAATCACTCGGCCTTTACGCGTGCATCCAGCCCAAGGGATCACCACTGACCGTCAAACGCACTCCAAAAAGGAGGAGACAGACAACCGATAGCACAAACGCCTTGCTTGGCTAAAACCCGCTAAACCACATCATGCAACCCGGACATGCACAGATGCCGCTATAATCCTCCAAATCCTTTGACAGGAAAATTAAAGTCGACGTGATGACGTTCGATTTTTATCCCGCCCATATACGCTGATTTGTCGGCCTGCCGGCTGGCCTCGAGGCCTGCCCACCCGATGGCCGCGACAAATGTCCGGTCGGCCTCCTCGCTGCAGCCCGGGCCCGGCGAGCGCCGTAGCGAGTACCCGCTCGCCACGCCATTGCAACCGGGCATGTGTGCCGCCATCCCGACCATCTCCCGCATCTTGTCCTCCGGTTGGCGACAGTCTTCGAAACTCAGCATCTCCACGATCCGCGAATTTATGACGGCCTGCGGTGCGAAGGGTTTGAATTGCAAAAGATAGCTCGAGGGTTCACCGTCCAGAACTGACGCAAATCCAGCCATGGCATCGGCGAATTCTTTCGATTTCTTCCACGCCTCGCAGGCTTCAACATTGATCCAACCTGACTCACCCAGAGGTCGCTTTAGTCTTTGTCTGTCTCGAACATGTCCATAGGAGCCATCCGTTTAGGTCACGGACTTGACAGATGTTCACATACTGGTTATGAGGTCTAGCTTCTGCTGATCCTCGGTCCACGGGCCCCAACGCGTACGAAGACGCCCGGGCTGCTTATCGAGGGCCTGGAGCATGAATTTGAGCTGGTCTTTCCAATTTTCGACGCCACCAAGGACAGGAATGGTAACCCGCTCCGTGACGGCGTTGACGGGCTGAGCTGATTCCATTCCTACTACGGATGTTGTTGGTTCGAGTTGATCTTGGCTCGATCTGTCACTAAATATACTCTCTTCTTGCAACCAAAGCGTGATAGCAGTGGTGGTGGTGCTCGTTATGAGAAACTTGTAGGTGATCTGTGGTTGCTTCTAGGCTGCTTCGGGACTTGAATCTCTTCACTAATGTTTCTTCATTGCTTTGGTCCTTCTTCTTCGAACTGTTGGGCAGACAATCCCAATCTTAAATAACGGCTCATAGAATCCATTCTCGCGGCAGACTAGCGCTCGGCCGAATGCCAGGAAACTGGGACGGGGGGTTAACGTTGGGCGGATATGTGACTTTCATCCACGACCCGATTGCTCAACGTTCTGGTATCGTAGTTCGGCACTGAACGGCAACTCAAAAGCCGTAAGGAGCTTCTTAAATCACTATATCCTTGAACCCGTTGCAAGAACCCTCAACCAAAGCTTCATAATGCATATCCACCGCAACATGCCGGATCTGCTGCGACGGTGTCATTGGATGCAAGGGCACACAAGTCGAAAACAACCCCTGACTAGGAAGTTTTCTGGAATGGGCTCACCCTGTGCTTTGTAACCCTATGATCAATTACGGATATCCATGCGGAGTTTCTCCAGGTGCTTGTCCGGAGAAGAAACGCACACCCCCTCCATTTCAATAAGGGAGGGGGGTTGCCGGTTGTCCATGACTGCATGGCTTGGCGATATTACGTCAAGCACGCTCTTGGATCTTTGGCAGTTTAGGGACCAGAAGGTTCAAGTTGGGATGGTGGAGATAGAACGAGGAAACTTTGGAAGCAAGCGAGGTTCTCGGACACGATCGAGGCAGACAAGGCCGCCCGTGGAGAACCATGGATTTGGGGATGAACGGCGATATTTTGTTTCAAGGCCAGCTTTTTCCCGCGCCGGCGGTAAGAGATTTTCAAGATTGAATCTCCATCTGCATCTGCATCTGCTTGCCGACAGCGGGAACGGCTCTCTGCCTGGTGTGCGTCTGTGTGCTAAGGTTATGCATCTTGCTCTGTCTACCGCCAGCAACGTTTCATGCCGAGACATGCCACCACAAGATTCCGTTCCCACACTCTCCGTTTCGTCGGAAGGGTCGTTTCCTTGTACCGAAACTATTGCCTGTCAATTCGCGTTACGATGCCGCTTTTGGGCTTAGCCCAAACCAAAGACGTGGTCCACGCCCTGCATGTCATTGAGGTTACCGAAAGCTCGGCAACATACACTCCCTCCAGACTCCATGTTTGTGTGCTCACGTGCTACTTAGTCGAGCCGGGCCGAGTCCGAACGGAGTATTGTCCTCTCACAGCAGCACTTACACGATTCGCGGCGCCCACTCGTGCCGAGCACCTCGCAAGCCATGGAGAGGAGACATCATCCCTTCACAAAACACCGTTGCATGCTCTCACCTTCCGGTTGGAACATGGCTGTAGGCAAGCAGTTGGTCCCATGTCTCGTCAGTCGCGACAGTCTCGCCATCCTCGTTGCCGCTGCTGACATTCGGACCCTACGCATGAACCGTTTATAGTGAACCTGCTTCGGTTTGGGACGATCCGCAATCCGGATTGGGAGTTGAGCTCGCTGCCGCAGATGGCCCAGACATCCAAGTCAAGGAGCAGTACCAAAAAGGCCCAGCACGCGAAGGACGACCGTGACCAATGCCACCTGAACTTGAGAAAGACACAGGACGCCTGCATGAAGGGCAAAGGGCGAAGTGCACAAAATATTTGGCATCTGGTGACCATTCACTCGAAATGGACAGCATTGTCATCACGGCCCATCGAGATGAGGGCGATACAGAAGCCAGTGTCACGAGAATATCTTCAAATAGCCACCGCCTCTGGTGGTTGATATCAGAATCGTAGAGCCAGCGATATTGATTTAAAAACATATCATTCAGTCCTTGGCATCGCACTCGGCAGTATTAGTAACATGCTGCATGGTTAAATATTGCATCGCCCTTTTAGGAATCCATAGCCAGAGGCCCTGTCAAGAACACGTCATAGCCCCTGCCCAGAACCCATGGCACTCCCATCCAACTTTACGCCCGAGATGTTCCTGAAGTTCATTGTTCATGCTCAAGACATCTGAGGCGTTGATAATGCCCGCGTTGTTCTCAAAGACAGCCTCCTAGAGGGAGACTCTTGCCTCAACCAGCCCAAGTCGCACAACCACTTCCTGCTCTACGAGAAGACGATGTTTGTTGCCTCAGCCGCTAATCCCCTGTGCCACGTTCCGAAAGCCCAGGCCCTCGTTACTCTGTGCAAAGAGCTCGTCATGACAGTGTGGCCCGTCTCGCTCGGCCGAAATCCGGCTACGGCGGAGCTTCCCCGCGCGTTCCCGGCTCCGTGGCTATGGATATGGGCTACCACGAACCGTAAATTTGAGGTTAACGTCGGGGACCCGTACGCGCTACTCAAGCCAGGCGCCAGCTTCCAGGATCTGCACGAGCACATGGAGAAGCACACACTGCGCGGGCATCCTTGGCTCTCCACCCCCGTTGGCCAGGGCTCCGTGTTCGGCAATACTATCGAGCGCGGCGTGCTAGACATGGAACGTTGGCAGCTCATCGGCGCCGTCTGCAGACCCAAGCTCGTTCGTGATGTCCTATTTCATGTCATCAAGCGCGAGTTGCTTTCCGTTCCTGGCTCGCGCTTCTTCCTTCCCGAATACCGTGCTCGTGACAACCTCCTTCGCGCCCGTGGACTGCTGATGCAGGGTATCCCTACGGTGGAGGAGCTGAGACATCTGAAGTAAGTCATTCTCTACGATGGCGCGTCGGCATCTCACTCATAGGGTTCGCTTATAGCTGGCCTCCTCACGGCGGCTAACTACTCTGGGCCCTTATGTCTAAGTTCTCTGGCGAGGATGCAAAGAAGTAGCACGACATGGAGAGAACCTACTCACCAGTCACGGCTTCGCCTACCTCGGCGCATTCCCCGTCGGCATGCAAGAACTCCGTAAGCATTCTGCTACACATATACATATACATATAGGAAACCTTCTGGCTCGCGCCATGTCATCTGTCCCCAGACCCCGAACATAGCAACATCAAGACTGATAAAGGGGCACGCAGACCTTGTGGTCGGTATTCCCTACCGCTTTGGCGTGCCGGAGGACGCAACGAAGAACAGGTAGCTAGCGCACAAGCTGGCTAAGGAGACGACGTCGCACGGCTGGGGCCAGTTCCGCGCACACATGGCGCCCATGGACCCGGTAGCTGACACCTTCAGCTGGAACGACAACGCGCAGGATCTTAATGGCATCGTTGCACCGGGGAGAAACGGTGTGTGGCCTGCAGACTACGTCAAGAAAGAAGTGGGTGCTGGGTGGCAACTGATCAACGACACTGTCTACACCATACCTAGTGTACACCATGTACTCTACAGATCGCACCGCCGGGCAGCTGAATGCCTCGACGAGATCCAGGCCCTAAACTTCCCTCCACAGGGGTGTGGGTACGGGCCAGATGTGAGATGTGAAATGACGCGGGGGTGATGCTTTAGACATGGCGTTTGTTGGAAGGCCAACACGAGTCTGAAGGAGGGACTATCAGAGCAACGTCGAGAGGACATAAGAGTTATACTGGTGCCATGATAGCTGCGGCAGTTGAATGAATATGGTACAGAGAGCCGGATCTCGCATTTGTGTACTCGATGATTCAGAGCACCAAGGGGATGCCATAGTTGATTATAACAAATTGCCGGTCTAAAATCGATATTGTTGCTAAGCATTCATGCACGTCGATCTTTGTGCTGTATTTCCCTGCTGCAGTAGTCAAAGTATTCCATCCCCATTGACTCAGATTCATACCAGACCTTGGTGCAACACTCGATCGAGCCTGGCATGTTCCAATCTGAAGACCGCAAGGAGAAGCTGAGCACGGGAACCCCCCCCCCTCTCCAGGATCAGGAGCCGTTGCAATCGCAGAGTAGTAGCGCATATGGCATGTATGTATCCGTATACGTTGCTGGGAAAACTTGGAATCGCGGGTATGACCGGGGTCCGGAGCTTATCGTCCGTAGCTACACCCCGGTCAGCGGAGCCAAGCAAACATTTTGGCCTCTCATCACTTTTGCACGCCGAGAACCTCGATCGGCAGCAAACCAAATCAGTTTAGGCTGGCATTCCGCGTGGGCCGACGGGCAGGTGGTTCATGCTGACAGATTGACTTCCCGCTGATCCTACAATACGCGCAGGGGGGAGAGCCTCATTCATCCAATGTAAGCGTCATCGGCGCCCTTGATAGACGGACCCGAATTTACTCATTCACTTGATTGGTTGGTCCTCATCCCAAGACCTACGGAGATAACTCCGTGAGGTGCTTCTGACGTCTGGCTGTTGGTCAAAAGGCCCCCGTCGACCGCAACACTACAATACCACCGAGCCCACATCTGTTTTCTTCTTTTGCGCCTAGTGAGCTGAGGAATCCCATGTCGCCTTCCCACAACACAAGGCTCGGTATGGCGTACCTACTATGAGTTCCAAGTGTGAGCTCGGCGCCGTCGGTCGGCACATCGGACTGGGCTCGTTACCACCCTGGTAAACAATGCCGGCTGATGACGGCAACATTACACCCAACGACTTGGTAGTCCACGTGTAAACGTATCCAGCATTGCCAAAGCGGCATGCTTGCCCCGCGATGAATGTTGAGAAATTTTCCGAGACCGTGAACTCATCCATCATGACAGGTGAGCTGCAGTGGTGCAGTCATCGATCCCCGGTCGATTATGCTGGTGTCATCATAGAAATCCGGGAGGGGGGGCTTATTTGAATGACCAGATCATCTATATAAGCTGCTCTTCGTTCCTGCATCGAAGGGGGGAGAAGAGAACATTCTGTAGAGCATCTCAAGCATCCCATTCGATCAAAGACTTGAAACATAGTCCGAGCAATGGCGCCCGGAAGCATCCTTCAGTCCGCCGGGCTTCTCGCCCTAGCCTCCGGCGCATTTGCCGTACCGTTTGTCTCCGAGGCTCAGACGACTGTCTACTCGGAGCCGACTGTCACTGCTTCTCAGGTCCCTCACACCAATGTGACCTCCCACGGTCCCTACACCGGTCCCCCGCCGTCTACCACGGGCGCCATCTCTACCAAAATATTGGCCTCCGAGGTGCCCATCTTACCTCCTCCGGATGACGCCTACAACTACCCGGCCGATGGCAAGCTTCACGGCGACCAGCCCGCCCCTTACACCCCGTCCGGCGGTATCGGCACCAACGGCTCCGCCCCTGTCTACCGCGTTCAGAGCGACTTCGACTACCAGTCCCTCGCCTTGGCTCTGTACCAGGAGTATATCGAGCTCGACCTCTTCCACTGGGGTCTGGCTACCTACTCCGATGCAGACTTCGAGGAGCTCGGCCTGAACGCCGAGGACCGCTTCCTGCTTCAGTATATGGCCGACCAAGAAATTGGCCACGCCACTGTCATCACCAACATGCTTGGCCCTCAGGCTCCGCAGCAGTGCACATACAACTATCCCGTCTCCAACCTTCGCGAGTACATTGATTTCAACCAGAAGCTTACTCGCTGGGGTGAGGCTGGTGTCTACGGCTTCCTTCCTCACCTGAACTCTGGCCCCGCTGCCCAGCTTCTTCTGCAGAGCATTACGGTCGAGGCCCGTCAGCAGATGATCTTCCGCCAGTTTGAGGGTCTCTTCCCCATGCCCGAGTGGCACACCGTCGGCATTCCTCAGTCCTGGGCCTGGACACTCCTTGCGCCTTACATCTCCAGCTGCCCGTGGAACCAGACCCGTCTCATCTGGCAAAACTTCCCTGCCCTGCACGTCCTGAACCAGCCTAACCCGTACCGCATCAATGGTGCTGATGTCTGGAACGAGACCACTGGGGGCTGGGCTAACACTGCCGCGACCACCAACATCACTGAGGCAGAATCTTGCATCAACGCTGCCGACTCGTCCCAGGACTGCAAGGCGGCCATCTCCCACAACCGCACCATTCCCTTGTCCTACCCTGGACGTCAGGTTTTCTTCCAGTGGGATGCTCCTGGCCAGGCCGTTGGCCCCAATAACAGCTATATCACCGCGACTAACGTCGTCGAGCCCAAGTTCGCCGCCTGGGTCTCACAGTTGAACATTACCTACTCGCCGTTGATGAACGTTAGTCTGGAATCTCGCACCGCGTACACTATTCAACCCAACATTTCCACTTGGGAGCATGATCCTGCGATCAACTCGACCATGTTCGTGGCCCTCACTGACTCCGACCTTTACGTCACGCCTCACAACCTGACGATGATTAATCCTCACGTCGCCGCTCTGGCCGTGTACCAGGCTGGTTGAGTGTAATTGTTTATACCCCTTTGCGTTATTGTTAAGGCACTGCATACCAATGGTCGTTAGAAAAGCAGTGAAGTATGATCCTTTGAGGGATTCATTATTGATAGGAGGATGTGGCATATTTAATCTCTGTATCGTACTATATTTCTCTGGGGATGACTTTTAATAATGATGAAATGGCCACGATCTTACTGTATTTGATCCAAGAGTAAATGAATTACTTACACGTTAATCATTTATTTGACATAGAGTGGTAAGTCTCAACCAGATTTGCTGGACTGATCTTGGCCAATCCCCGTTCCCTCATGACAGCTCCGCAGTTTCTTGTGCGTATATTATGCAAGGGGTTTAGGGATGTCACAAACAGAGCGGAGGCTTGTTTCCCAAAAGAATAAAACCTGCAGACCATTGTGAAACTCGGCACTCTCCCTTGCGTCGTCGCAAGCTTCATTTTAAAGTTGTTTGCAATTCTCTGTATTCATGGTGATCTTATTCAGCTTTCACGGATGCAACCATTGTTACCTAAATCACCCCGAGGCAGTTAGGGCCTTTGGGCATGATTGTGGAGAAGACCATGGCTGTAACACAGATCATGTCATACGCCTCTTCTGCGTGCAGCACGTCGCTTGATAAGGGTGGCTCGAAGATACTTGTTCTGATTGAAGTTCTTCGTTCCACTTCTGTGAGATTAAGTCACCATAATACCACCACAAGGAGCTGGTAGAAAATGATCCCCCCAGTTTGCGGATCTGCAGCGCATATACGAATGAGAAAGCGCGGTGCATATTCTGTTGAATAAGTGCAAAAGGATGATATGATTGCTGCGTCTAAACCGTTTCAATAGACTGGAAAGCTTCGATTTGGGCCCAAACATGCAATCATCATCCAATTGGTCATTATATATTCCATTCCAACGTTGCAAACCCATTTTTTGGCTATTTCTAGGTCAAGTAGAAACAGGCGGTGTAGGCTCTTGATGATAATGAGATCAGTTGACTTTTTATCCCATCCTGGCATTTCACCCGTGGCTTTTATCTTTGTAAGTTGATCCTGGACTCATGCCTGCATGGCAACTTCATTGAAAAACTGAGGAGGGACAGCGCCTGCATGACAACCTATCGGTCGCGACATGATGGGTCAACTCTTGCCAGTGGCGCACCGCCAAGCATAGCATGTTTGTGCTGATGAAGTTGGTATCTAAAGGGTGTCCTCTCTATGCCTTCGTATATAAAATGATTCAAACATGGCCGGTATCACCATCTCTCATAAACGTGCTTTGTGATCTTAAAACATCGGCGCAACAAGAATTTACAACCCAGCCATGGCATTTGGTGTTTTCATTCCCCTTCTACTTTTTCTCGCTCTCACTGAAGCTTGGGGAGGGCTTGATAAACCGGATCTAGCTCGCCGGTTCGTCAATGTCACCACTATTCCCTCGTCGCATCCTACGTGTCAGAATGAGCGTGTACCGTGCAGCATATCACCTGCTAGTTCTACTGATAACACACCAGCTGTGGGTTAAAGAGATTCGCTCCCATAACTCTGGTTGCTGATTATTATACAGACGTCTGGAGGAGCTGTGCCTTCAACAGCAAATGAGACTTCTCTGTCAGCCTTCTTCCAATCAGTTTCGACAACGGATCTGGCAACGTCCACTGTCCCTGTCAACTCGTTCCGGACCACCTCGAGTCCTACAACTCACCAGCTACTCACCACTCTGCCGACGGAAGCAGTTATCTTAACCCTAACTGGCGTCACGTACACAGATCCTGTGTATATCACAACTACATCACCTGGCGGAGAGCAGCCTACGGTCGTGCCAGGTCTGCCATGCCTGTAGCCTGCCCCCATAAACCGATGACTGCTAACATTTTGTAGTGATAATTCCATTTGTTGGTCCCCCCCGGATCTGCTTTGGCTGTTTTTCTCGTTTCCCTCCTGATATCGAAATCCGCGTCCCCGAATTCTGCATACAGCTTTTTGGCTTGAAGATAGGCAACTGTCCCCCTCCGGAACAAGGCTCCGATGGAAAGGACGAGAGTGATGACAAGTCTCCACCAAAAACATCCAGAAAAGCCCAAGGCACTGAAAGAGAGACGAAGACAGATTCATACTCATCAACAGCATCCACATCGTCA